CCTCCTCCTGCCTTCCCTCTGCAAAAGGTGCCGAAGGCTGCAGGTGCCCTCTTCTGCCAGCTGATCAGTCCCTGCCCTGCAGGGCCACCGTCCCGCCCCGTCTTCCCGTCTCCTCTCCAACCCGCCACTCCTTGAAGCAGCAGCGAGCGCCCCTGTCCTCCACACAGGCCTGAGAGCTTAAGGCATGAACTCCTCCAGAAATGAGCTGGGAAGGGAATTCTCAAAGCAGAATGGGAGCATCAACAGCTGCTCTGCAGGCGGGAGAGGACCAGGCAGCCGCTGGGGGTCCTTGTGTCCCCCCCCCGAGGCCAAGCAGCCTGCTTGGGGGAGCCTGTGCAAGGGATGCTCCTGGAGCGAGCAGGGGCGGAGGCGGTGGGGGGAGGACATGGGCATCATTTGTAAAGTGCTTCTGTGGCTTTGTTTCCCCCCTCCCCCCCCACCCCTGCCCCTCTGGCCCAGGCAGGATTCCCAGGCTCCCCCAAACACCCTCCTCTTTGGTCACTACTTCCTACCTCCCTACAGCCATTTCGAGGCCCCCCAGCAGGAGGACTTACTTGCGCTTTTCCTTCTTTTTCTTTTCAAGAGGAACACAAGTGGGAAGAAAGCTCTTGCACTACGGGGGCCCTGGCTTTCCCTCCCACCTACCTTGGGGGAGGGGGGCACCCCTCCGCTCTCCCTCCTCCCTTCACCAAGGCCTCTCTGCTCCTGGCATCCTCACCAACTCTTGCGAGTCGGTCCAGTCCCCCTCGGGCAAGGTCTGGACCATTCCCCAGGACCACTCTGCTTCTCAAGCAAAGGGTGCTCCTGCTCAGCCCCCCCCCCCCCACTCGTCTTTGAAGAAGCCATTTTCCTGCTTCACCCCCCGCCCCAAAATGCCAGCCCAGGGCAGAGTCACCACGGTCAGTCAGGCAGAAGGCCGCCTTCCCCATCCCGAGAGGAGCGAGCGGAGCCGGCTGTGCCTTTAGCAGACCAAGCTGGAGGAGGATTTGTTCCCCTTCGCTCTCTCGGCCCTTGTCCACAAGGTTCTCTCCTCTCCTCCAGGCAACTTGAACCCCCGACACAGAGCAACAAGGATCAGGTTCCAACGGCACACTGCTCGGGCGCCCGGCGTTTCGGTCAGCTCTGGAAGGGGTACAGGAGGCGGCCCTGCCATCTTTCAAGCGACCCAGGTGCTGGTGGAACACACACCCGCAAGACGTCGGAAGGTGACCGCTGCTTCTCTGCCGAGAGGGGCCTGCAGTCACCCCGTATACGGTGGGGAAACTCCGACCGCCCCCTGCTTGTCGTTTCTCAAGGCAGGCGGGTGGGCAGGCTGGCCTTCAGCAAGAGTTCACACAGGCCCCCGCCTCCACAAACGATTCCGACGGGAACCCGACGTGAGCATGGAGAGCAGGGCAGGCATGCAGGAGGCTGCTGGGAGGCCAAGGGGCAGGAGGAGGAAGCAGTCTCTGGAAGTGACCTTTTCTAAGGAAGGAGGACGAGTCAGAAGGGGCACAGCAGCCAACCCCGAGACCGGAGAGGTTTTTTTGAGGGTTTGGTCTCTCTTTCTCAATGCTGTTTCCATGGCACAGCTGAGCGAAGGGGCACTGCCAGTTCCAAGGGGCCAGAAGAGAAGACGAGGGGCAGGGTTGAAGGAGAAATACACTTGGCACAAAACACCCACTCGGTGGGCTCTGAGCTCTCCGTGAAGGATGGGCAAGCTTCCGCAGGCACCGTCCCGGCTGCTTTGGGGACCTCGGCAAAGGCAGCTCTTCCCTCTCCGCTTCCCCCAGTCGTCTTACGAGTCTTCGAGCAGGGGAGGCAGCTGGTGCCCCCGGCAGGGAGGTGGGCAGGGGCTGAGGCTCTCCAGTCCTTGATACATGCATGAGCCCCATCGCCTGCCCCTCCGGCAGCCGTGTCTTTTGGGGGTCAAGGGGTCGCCTGCCCCATAGCGTCCATGCTTGCACACTGCCCATCTCTGGGGGGTGGGGGAAGCTATCGCAGGGAGTCCGGGATCGAACAGAGTCTGGGGTTGGGGCCGACCGGATGGCTCTGGGCGCCCTGCTGGAGCTGCAGGGTGCGGGCAGGGCAAGGAATGCCCAGCCAGGCCCGGCCAGGGGCGTCTCGGCTCCCCGGCTGGAGCTGCCCCAGGTGCGGCGGGTGAGGAATGACCAACGAAGCCCTGCTGGCGTGGCAGAGGCAGTGAAGCATCTCGCTCGGCGCGTCCACAGCGGTGGGCCGGGGACCGGTGACACCCTTCGGCTTGGAGGTGACCGGCTGGGGCTGCCCCATGGGCACCACGGAATGGGAGCTGGATGTGGGCAGGGCAGCCAGGCTCAGCCGCCGCTGGCAATGGAGCATCTCCGCGTGGGGATCCATCACGGTGGGTGGGGCGCTCAGCTTGGGGCCCTGTTCGGAGCTAGAGGCCACTCCCTGGAGGTGCCCGGTTGGGCCTGCTGCGTGGGGGCCTGGTGAGGGATCTGCAGGAAGACTCTGGCCCCCATGAGGTGCTCCATGTTGTTGCTGCTGCTGCTGCTGCTGCTGTTGCTGCTGTGGTTGTTGTTGTTGCTGCTGCTGCTGCGGTGGTTGGCCAGAGGGGGCAGCCCTGTGGACACCCGGAGTGGAATCACCAGGAAGGTCCTGGCGGGGGGCTGGCGTCGCCCGCTGGGCTGCAGCAGAGGCAGGGTCCCCAGGGACGGCCTGCTGCAGGCCAGGAGCTGCCAGAAGGGTGCCCATTAATGGATCTGCCCCCAAGACCTGCCGGTGGGTTCGCTGATGGGCCCGCAGGGCAGACTCGCCCTTGAAGCGTTTGGGGCAGCAGGCGCAGGCGTGGGGCCGCTGCTGAGAGTGGGTGCGCTGGTGGGCTGCGAGGTTGCCTTTCTGGCTGAAGCGGCGGCCGCAGGTGGCACACGGGAAGGGCCGCTCCCCTGAGTGGATGCGCCGGTGGGTGATGAGGTTGGCCCGCTGGTTGAAGCGCTTGCCGCACTCGGTGCAGGCAAAGGGCTTCTCCCCGGTGTGGATGCGCTGGTGGGTGATGAGGTTCGGCCGCTGGCTGAAGCTCTTCCCACAGACGTTGCAGGGGAAGGGCTTCTCCGTCTGGCGGCTGCCTCGGGGCACAGGCACCTTGGGCTCCGGCGTGATCAGCCCCTCCTGGACCGCATGGGTGCGCTGATGGGCCGCCAGGTTGGCCTTCTGGCTGAAGCGCTTGCCACAGCGCAGGCAAGGGAAGGGGCGCTCCCCCGTGTGCACCCGCTGGTGGGTCAGCAGGTTAGGGCGCTGGCGGAAGCGCTTGCCACACTCCAGGCAGGGGTAGGGTTTCTCCCCAGTGTGGATCCGCCCGTGGGTAATGAGGCCCTGCTTCTGGCGGAAGCACTTCCCGCAGACGACACAGGTGAAGGGCCCGGAGCCCAGGCCCTGGGAGGGGCGCCCGGGGCCGCAGAGGCTCGGCTCGCAGGAGGCCGCTTCCTCCTTCTTGACACGGGGCTGGTTCCTCAGCTGGGTGCTGTTGGGGGCCAGGAAGAGGCCTGCCCGGGAACTATCAGGGAACAATTGGTAGCGCTCCAAGCTGGCCACAAAGCCCTTCTGGCTGCCACCTTCTTCTTCCTTGATGGCCTTGCCACGGCCAGCTGCTCCTGCAGGGAAAGAAGGGGGGGGGCAAGAAGGAGACCCTTAGGAGAGAGTCCTGGCCCACTCCCAAGGCCCAGGGAGTGCGGATGGCCCGGCGTCCTCCCTCCCAGCATTGCCTCTTAGCACCTCTCCAGCCCACAAGAGGCATTTGGAGAAAGGGAAGACGGGGATCCTGTCTGCAAACTCCCACCAGCCACCAGAGACTCTGTCCGCCGGGGGCTGTTCAGAAAAAAACCACGGCCACCTAGCCCGGGGGCAACAACTCTTCCCCACTATTTGCCCTCCAAAACTAAGACTTGCTTTTAAGAAAATACTAGAATGTATCCAGAGAAAACCAACTACTCTGGAAGCCAATTCCTATACCGAAAAAAGGTTCGTTGAGACTACAGGACTAAGTTTTAAAAAGAAGAGTAAACTAGTGTCAACACAGGTCTGATGATGATTTTTCTCTCTTGAGCACTGTTGCAGATGAAAAAAATAATAAAAATAAAGGAGGCACATGCAGAAGAACAAAAGAAACCCGGTTTTTCCTCCTGTGCACATCCTACCCTGCACTCAAAGGGGCATCATCCTCACCTTGACAGGAGCCTGAGCACAGCTTGCCTTCCTCCAGCTTCTGACGGTCCGTGACGCCGAGTTCCTCCCACCGCTCAATCCACGACAAGCTCTCAGGTTTGAAAAAACGGTAGCCTAATGAAAAGAAAGGGGAATAATGGACTATTCTGTTAAACGTCCCTCAAGCTCATCGGATGCTTCTTTGGCTAGCACGGTCCCTTGGAAAAAGATAAATGAGCTGCTCTTGACACAGATCTCAGAAACATTGCCGAGGGGAAAGGTTTTGGACCACAACTCCTAAAAACCCTCAAGCTTCTCTGGCCAGAATTTTATCAGCTTCTACAAAGGGGGGGGGGGTTTCCTACAAGCTTCCACACAGACTGTTTAGGTTAATCTTTTTGTCTCTACTATTAGTCAGTCAAGTAGATCAGAAAAATCTGTGGGTCTCAAACTGGATTTATCTCTCCAGAAAAATGTACCTGTTAATAGTACTACATGGAGATGTTAAGTAACAAGCTGCATTAAACCCTGTTTTCTAACATTAACTAAAATTATTCCTGGAGCTTTTTAATTCATTCAGCATGAACAAGTGCTAGAAATTCTTGGCAACCCCTATGAAAACTCCAACAACAGATTTCATATCATTCATATCTCAATATTTACATTTTAACATCTTGGATTTTTGCACGTTTATTGGTTCTATTGTTTTTAAATTCTGTAATGCTGCCCAGAGTAGACCATTGGTCTAGATGGGCGGGGTATAAATCTAATAAATAAAATAAAATTTCCTTTGCAACTCTTCCTATCATCCCCCCCCCCAACATGGTGCAGACAAAGCCCAGCCTGACTCTGAAAAGGGGCACCTTTAGGCAGTGGAAATGCTCACAAACAGATGATCACTAGAGGCAGAGACAGTCTGTGCAAGGAAATAACAAAAAATATATATTGTGGAAAATCATGTATGAAAACTATGTATGCAAGAAACTAGGACACATGTTCTGGAAGATAAAAAACAGGCACTTCCAATCTGTTCTGCTGTGTTGTCTGGGGAATGTTGGGTGTTGTGATCGCTGCTTTTTCCAAGTTCTAACAAGAAGTCAGAGAAATGACCCCCTCCTTGTGTTCCAAGTACCTCCAAAGTCCACAGTATAGTCTTTATCTCCTCCTGAAGTAGAGGGGGTCATAGGTAGCCAGGTCAAACAAGCACTACCCAAAGACCACCTGAAGCTGGGCATAAGGCCAGCAAGAAAAATAGGATTTGCCTGGGGGCTTTCCCTATTCCCAAAGGCAAAACACAGATCAAAATTATGCTGGGGGAAAAGCACATGTGCCAGGAGAATCTCTCCCTTCGGGAGGCTGGCCTTCTCAGGAGCAGCTGCATCATCAGCCATCTGAAGGACTGCCCATGGAGGGGGAGGGGGAAAGGTCTGACCGATTCCCATTCTGCTCTACATTACTCAAGAACATCCTCATAAACATACTTAGCAACTCATACTAATGGCTTTACATCACGGAACTCTGCCGCTCCAGTCATACCTTAAGGACTAAATTCATAATTGGAATCCATCAAATAACAAATCATTCTGATAATCCCTAGCAGTTCCAAAAGAACTGGGCTGCCTTTAGCTAATGCTTCCTTCGAGCTTAAAATAAAAATGGCAAGTGTGTGGTCACCATGACGGAAGAAAAATAAGGAGAAAACAATCACAGCTTCAACTACGCCCTGAGAAACAAGAAGTGAAGTCAAGAAGTAGGACAGCTGGGCTGGGCTTGGCGCAAATCCCAATGACCAAAGCATCGATGCCAAACCCCAAGCGCATTTTCCCCATTTTGGTGCAAAAGAAAACCTAAGTTCATGTTTTGTATGCTGCCATTTTCCGCGAACAGCATTCTTACATAATTCCCTGTTTATAAATTATAATTACATGTTTATAAAGCGGCAATCAAGCATCACAATTAATTTGCTTTGCACTAAGATACACTGCCACTTTCCAAGCAGAATATGTACGTTTATCCAACAACAGTTTTTCTGGCTTGTAATACTTGTACTGCCCAATATAGAGAAAAATTCAAGGGAAAATACCTGCAGTCTGTAATACCACCATAAGACAAGAGCAAGAGGCTGAACTGGGGCAGAGTGGCTATGAAGAGGCTTACACATTCCTGTCCTAAATGCACTTGCCTGGAATTATATTCTGCTAAAATCCAGCATGACCAAATTCCAAAGCAGGTGAATAAAAATCAATGTTTTTTTTTAATCAAATTGATTTCAATCATGATTTAAATTTTTAAAAATCAATGTTTGATTTAAATAATCAAAAAAATTCATTTAAAAAAATTTAAATCACGATTTAAAGTGTGATTTAAATTAATTTGATTTAAACAGTGTTTTACATCCACTTGAGTAAAATTAAATCCACTTTGTCCCAAATTAACTACAGGACAGGTTATAGCACGGTTTTTGGAAGCAACACAGCATTTCTTTCAGCTACCAAAAAGCAGGCAGAGAGGGAGAGGTGGAATTTCCAAAAACTGCATGTGGGGCTTCAGCCGGGTAGAAGCTCTAGAACGCTGCTGGCTGCTTCATGTCCGGCCTCAATACAGCTTTGTCCAGAGATAGGCTGGACATACTGGAGGCAGTGCTAAAAAACCCCAAATCACAGGTTGAGTGAGGACCTTCTCATTTCGCCTCCCCCCCCGCCCTTTTCTCAACTATCACAAATTGCACATGCTTCTTCCAAAGTCATCAGAAACAGGAACACAATTTTGCCCTAAAGCTACAAGAACACGCTGGTGATCTACTTCAATGGTTTACCTGGACAGGGATCTGTTGGAATCCCTCGGCTAGAATCCAGCTGATCACCAGCACATTGTTCTCCCGCACGCTCAATTCGAGACAGGAGATCAGGTTTGAGAACTGGGTAACCTAATGGAAATAAAATAAATAAATAAACTGGGTGTGTGTGGGGGGGGAGACCAACACGTGTCACTATTGTTTTAGAAGGACCAACCATTATGAGACATGCCCCAGCAACGTGGGCTCTGGGCAGCTGCTGGAGGGGTGTTTCTACATCCACACCTCGGAATACAACCTGGATGAGTGGAAATGGACTCCACAGAGCCACGTCAATTCTTCTCCTTCAGACTCATCAGCCACTTGCCAGAGTCCCACCGCCCACCGGGAACAAAACAACCCACGTCTTACCCAGGGACGTGACCAGCTCGTAGTTCTCCATCACCACCTCCACCGACTCCTTGCGGATCCCCTGCGAGCTCCTCCAAGGGAACACAGTTGAAGGGAGCCTCAAATGTCACCTGCTACGACAAAGCCTGGCCAGTCAGCCCATCACAGGAAGCAGCCTAATACTAAGCCGGTCTACCTCATTCAGGGCTGCCCACTCTGACTGGCAGCCGCTGTCCCAGGTTTCAAACAACAGCATGCTCAGCTCAACCTGCAGACAGTGGGGGTTGAGCCTGCACCCCTCTGCCCGCAACGAGAGGATCTGCTGCTGAGAAACAGCCCAAAATTGGATTTTTACAAATTTTCCCAGAACACCATAGTGTTGTAAAGGATAACAAAGGAGATCCATCTCTTAGAGAACAAGCGGTGATTACAGTTATCGTTGATGGCCATCCTCAACAACCCTATTAGATAGAAAGAAAGAAAGAAAGAAAGAAAGAAAGAAAGAAAAGAAAAGAAAAGAAAAGAAAAGAAAAGAAAAGAAAAGAAAAGAGGAAATGGCTATCACAGGGGCCATGAGCAGGGCTCCATCCCACTTCCCTGCCCCTCCCACGCAGGCTGCAAGCAAGGTGATTCAAGGCATCACACAGCACACAGGATTTCAGACCATGTTCGAGGCCCACCTCTGCCTACCTGGACAGCATCTCCCGTGGGCATCTCCTGGGAAAGTTTTCCAGAGGTGGGAGACCATGTTTCACATCAGCAACTCAAACAAGTAAATCAGATTCATTTGGCAAGTCTGAATACTAGGATCATCCTTCTGTGCCCGTTTACTTCTGCTGCATGTCTGGAGAAACCCTGCACCCATAAGAAGAAGAAAGAGTCAGTAAATAGGGTACTGAGAGTCAGCCAGGGTCACAGACACCCTCTGAGCCTGGCTGCTGGGAGCTTGCCTGCGGCGCTGGTGCAAAGTTCATCGCTCCTTACTGTAGTTCTAAAGACCGACACAAAGCCACCTTGAGAGCATCTTTCCCTGCACATGAAAGCCTGCCCAAAAATGTTGACCCCAAAAGCTCATGGGCGGATCAAGAAAAGTGTCCTTTCCGTCGCTCTATACAACAGGAAGATCTCCTTACTGCCTGCCCCTCCCCTTAGGATCCACACAAAAGAAAGACAAGACAAGCCCAGTACGCAGAAAGCAAAGGAATGGCCGGGGCCAAGAGCAACAGGGAAGGGTTTGGCTGTGCAGGTTTGGCTCTCCCTGCATCCCAGAAAACAGACCATGCCGTGGCTGCATTTCGCCACAGGCACGTGGCCCTTCCATGTCAGAAAAAAGATGCAACCAGAAAATGGGCAAAAAGAAGAAGAAAATTGGCAGGATGACATGAGCTGTTTTTTGGGGGGGGAAAGATGATTAAGGAGGCACATGAAAATATTCACAGAAGGGGTAGCGGGGGGGGGAAGGAGAGAAGGCAGGTAATCACAATAGATACTAGGCAGGCAAACCAAGGCCAGAAGCTGGTCTATGCCAGGCCCATGAGAAGGGGTCCCAGTGAGTTTTTCGGTTTTGACTGCGTATTCTTGTGATTCTGCTATATTTTGACTATAATTGTAAAGGTTGAACATAAGCATAATTAATAACAGAATGGAGGGCCACCTATGGAAATCGATAGCGATTCCAGATAGAAAAGAAAAAGTATTTCTTTTTACATCACTGAAGAAATTTGCTGCGACAAGACGCAGTGATGGGCACAACAAGCCTCTGGGGCTTTGACTGAGACTTTTGGATGAGGGAGAAGAATCTGTCCACGCTCATTGCTGGAACTTTTACCTTCAGAAATAATGAACAGTATTTGCTAAGGAGCTACGGCTGGGGGCGGGGGACAGGCAAAGCTGTCCTCGTGCCCGGACTGGAGCCCTTCCGTAAACACCTGCCTGGTCAAAGCTCCTGGAGCCTTGATCCCACCTGGCAGAAGGGTCCCGACAGGCAGGCAGTCTGGAACTTGCTCAACCTCTGCTGTCCCTTCTCTGAACCAACCCAAGACTTCTGCAAGTATTTTCCAGACCCAGCCTTTCTATCATTCTTTTCTTTGGAACAGTTTGCGCCCCCAATGCCTAAGGGTGGGCTACAACTTAAGGTAGTATGGAGACCCGTCCCTCTGTAACAGCAGTCCTGACATCCTGGGTACAGAATCCAGAAGAGCGAGATTCATTTCTCTCTCCTCATATGGAACTTTTGAGCCCTCCAGAAAAACCTGTGACATATATAGATATGCCTTTGTGGTGCCGTCTTATCCGCAACTACAGAACTACCATGAGCACCCACAGGAGACAAGGAGAACATGTGCGTCTGCCCCAAAACCCCAAGAGAACCCATGATGTCTAGCAGACCTGAACAAAGTATTGGGGAGAACAGGGCATCATTCCAGAAGAGAGCCTTCCACTCCCAAAACCTGGTTGTCTGGAGGAGATGTCCAAACATGCCAGGCCGCCAGAAAGCTCTTCACTCTGCAGAAGGAGGAATCCAGGCACAGGTTTTGCAAAGCCACTTACTCACGGGAGAGTATGACATGTTCAAATCAAGCAACCTCCTCTAAGACTGATAAAAATCTGGAATCATGGCCACCAATACTACACATTTCCTGTAATAAAGATGTTGTGACACCTCAAAGACTAAAACATTTGGCAAGAGCTTCCATGGCCTGCAGGCCATTTCTTCAGATGCCCAGAGCACAACCCCATCAGACAGACATCAAGGCAACCTCTTACAGAAGCAGGCACTCTTCCACACCAATGGGCCTTTTAAAAATGGTTTTGCAGCAACATACTAAAACCGCTGCCCCTTGGGAAATGTCTTTTATGAATTTTTCCTTTAGCCTTTTTAAAATGTCTTCTGTCCTTTCGTACATCTAGCACTGCTGTTGGACAAATAATGACCGCTTCTCTTCTTCTGCAACCCAAGGACCAAACAGGTGCCCTCGGCCTCTTTCTCAGTCTACTCTGACCACTCTCTTTAGAAACCTCCTCCTGCAGTCCTCCTTGTATATATCCATGGGAGAGCTTTGGACCCTTTCCACAGCCAGATAAAACGGTATCCACTAAGCATGCCAAGATAGCTTTGGAAAGACACCCAGCGCAGTCACAAGAAAACAGCCTTCCACCCCAAGTGACATTCCATTTGGGTCAAATGAAGGTCTTCACATCAGACCTGGTTGGTTTTTAAAGGCCTGCTAAGCATGAAAGGCTTACAGGATGAAAAGTTTATCAGGTGACCTCAACAGCCGCATGTTCACACCAGCCGCATTTCACGCCACCCTCTCCTGTCCACATGAGAAGCCGCAACCAGGGTCAATGAAAGATAACTCAAGAGACTGTGGCAGATCCAGGAAAAGAAAAAGGAGGCCTGGCCAGAGGATGCCACAGGCAGCATAACTCCCTTCAAGGCTGCACCACAACCACAACCACCAGCCACACTGTACCCATCCCAAGGGAACCCACCAAGGGGGGGGGGGAGAGAGAAAAACTAAGCCATTTTTAAAAGGAGACCCAGAAATGTGGCAGCAATTCTTCCACTTCCTCCTGAGAAGCTCCAAATCTCTTCATGATCTCAGCCCTCCAGTGCCATCCAGTCCAAACCACAATGGCAAAATATTGTTGCGGCTCCAGAGCACATGAGGCCCCTTTGCCTTATCACGCTTGAAATTCTCCACCAGATACCCCACCAGCCTTAGAACTCTGCCCACTGGGAAGAAACACTCATTGTAGTCATCTAATCGTCGTCATCATCATCCCCATCATGGGCTGTCAAATCAATTGTGACTTACGGCAACCCTTTTCAGGGTCTTCTATCTAGGTAGTGAACGCTCAGAAGGGGTTTCTCCTTCCCTTCTTTCCGGGGCATTTCTGGGACTGTGCAGTCTGCCCAGGGCCACCCAGGCTGGCTCGTCTGGAATCCACAGCGGGGAATCCAATTCCCCACCTCTGACCCAGCAACCAGATACCTGTCCTAAAACACCAAGCTATCCGGCCAGCTATTCAGTCCCCTGGAAATGTGAGGCTGGCAACACAGATTTTAAAATATTTCCCCATTTCAACCTGGAAGATCCTGGTCAGCAAGTAAAGAAGACATCAGATTACTTGTAGCTGACAATGGCTAGGAAAAATAGTCCCCACGGTGGCCTGTACCTTCCACCAAATGTGGGCAAGGTTTTGCTCAGTCACGATTCTGCAACTTCCAAAGAAAGGACCCCAGGGGGGGGGGTTAGACAGCACAGAAGCATGCAGGCACCCACTGGCGGCTGCTCCGTTGCTGTGGATTTGGGACCCCTTACATCTGAGCAGGCATATGTACAGTCCGTGCCCTAAAGGTGGCTTTGCTGCCCTGCCTCTTGGGGGACCAGCCACTGCCTGCAATGGGTGGCGGAAACCAGGCCCCCCCCCCCCGGGGGGGCAGTTAGTTCCCAGTTTATGAAAGGGCACAGCCAAGAGGAAGAGGGGCTGCGGAAAGGGGGTGGGGGAAACAGATTCCAAGCTGCCTTCCCAGGATTTAACGTCGGACCGGAA